GATTATATTGAGGCATCTCTTCAAATTTGGAGCTTCAAATAACACAGTGTTCTTTCATTTCTATATTGATGGAAACAGTCGAAACCAGAAAGATTCCTTTTAAATACATCAGATCTTTAAATGCCTAAGAATGTTACAAGTTTCTTTATTGTACTTGCAACTTAAAACCATCTGGGGCTCCCAGATCTGCAGCTTTGACTTTAACGTTCCTGTTAGAAAAACCAGAGAGGCATCTTGTGTGAGAGAAGTTATAGCAGAAAGAGAAGTTAGATGGAGCCAGTATGAGTGACTGATTCATGATAGGGTTGTATACACTGCTCTTGCTTTGATGATGCATCCTTCTCTGTGTGCTGCAGTGTGTTGGCCAGGTTCATGTGTGCATGGTGGAAAACGTGCTTCCCCCCCTCTGTGTCCTGGTTTGAGCTAAAGAGAACTAATTAATTTGGGTATATTTCTGCTGTCAAAATGCATTCTATGCCTTGGGATTTACTAGTCTAGTCCAGTGTTTGGTTGGCCCTTTGGGGGGAGATGACAAGTCTGAAGAATGCAGAATTAATGAGCACTTTCTTCTCTGTGACAGACTAATTTCTTCTCTCTACCTGTGCATCAGCTTCCCTTTCTGGGCAGTAAGAAAACACAAAGCTGCCACCACTGGCACAGAGCTGCAATGAATACCCACAGCAGCACTCATCAGGGTAATGAGACAAGATGACTAACAAAGCAAGCAGTACTGAGCTTCACCCTCTACACGTTATTAGTGTTCTCTATGGATATCTTTCCCTCTAATTACTCCTTCTTCCTTTACCTGTCTATAGACAAAGAGTATTGGGTTTTGCTTGGTTTTATTTCTTTGGACCGTGGTTGTTTTGGTTGTCAGCTGGGCTTTTCGTGCAGTGCAGAAAGTGCCTATGGAAGCAGCTGGGACCACAGACCTGACATTTGTGTGGAGCAAAATCAACCCTACACCCGTAATGGAGCCAAACCTTAAATGCCAGCTCCTCATAGTTTTTTCTATTCGTCACTATCGCAAAGTATGAAACTTAGAGTGCACTAAAATGACAAGTTTTCAGCACACACATACATCACCTTCTTAGTTCGTTCAGCTAAGCCCGCCTAGAATTGCACCCTTTGATCCTGAGGTTCTCCAGGGATTCCCAAGAGACTCCTTGCTTCAGTAATTGGTTGAAGTACCATGATCTTGGTGCAGTGACTACCACTCTCACAGTCTGCCCATTTGATTCTTCCCAGATGAAGCCAACAGAAGGACATGAGCCAGGAAACCACACTCTGCTGACTGACTTTGTCCTCTCTGGATTGTCCAACCACCCCGAACTGCAGCTCTTGCTGCTCTTCACATTCTGCTGAATTTATACCATCACCATCACTGGGAACTTTCAAATCTTCATGGTCACAGTGCACCCGAGGCTCCACATGCCCATGTACTTCTTCCTCCGCATCCTGTCCTTCCTGGATATTTCCACAGCATTGGTTGTTGTTCCCAAGATGCTGGTAAACCTCTTGTCAGAGGACAGGAGCATTTCTACATGGGCTGTGCCACTCAGCTCTACTGTGTGATTTTCTTAGGAACCACTGAGTGCTACCTTTTGGCAGCCATGGCCTATGACCGTTACGTGGCCATATGCAACCCCCTTAGATATGCAATCATCATGAACAGTAGAGTTTGTTTTACCTTGGTCCGGCTGTCATGCTGCAGTGGTAATGTTGTGTCTGTGGTGCAGACAGCTTGAGTGTTCACATTGCCATTCTGTGGGCCCAGGAAGATTAACTACTTCTTCTGTGACATTCCCCCACTCATTATGCTTTCCTGCTCTGACACCTCTTCGTATGAAAAGCCACAGTGATGGTCATCTTTACACCATTTTGTCTCATCCTGGTGTCCTATGGCTGCATCATCTCCAGCATCCTGAAGATTTCCTCTGCAGAGGGCAGACACAAGACCTTCTTGACCTTCTTCTCCTCACACCTTAGGGTTGTAACACTGTGTTATGCAAGTGGGACCTTGATTTACTTATGGCTGAAATCTAGTAATTCACAGGACACTAAGAAAGACCTAGCTCTCATATACATGACCATAGTTCCCACATTAAATCCCTTGATTTACAGTCTGAGAAATAAAGAAGTGAAAGGAGTACTAAGCAGAATGATGGCTGAGTTGATGAAGAAATAAATCTTTTCTGTGAATGGGTGGTTTAAAAATGATATTTCCATATTAGGTGAGTCTGTGAGGTTTACTAGCTTACTAGAAACACCAGAAACAAAGAGATATTTCTTACGTGAAAATATTTTGTCCTTATTCTTGGCTTCAGAAATAAATTATTTAGAATTTGCTTTTCTCCCTTAGGAATATGAAATGTGTACCAGACAGTTCTTCTAAAACAGAACACCCATAAACTGCTCCACTTTCCACATCTTCTTCAGATATTCAGTCTTGAAATCCTCACTTTCATTGCAGGAGCTCAGCTACCCCTCTCACTTAAGAAACAGTCTTTTACGTTGAACTTTTAAGTAAAACCATACACAAATTGGTAGTGAGTACATGTTTTTTGACATTTTTTCCCTCTCTAGCAGAAAAGAGATCCACTGAATGAATCATAGAATCATTGAATGGTTTGGGCTGGAAGGGACCTTAAATGTCCCCCAGTCCAACCTCCCTACCATGGGCAGGGACACCTCCCATCAGATCAGGCTGCTTCAAGTCCCATCCAACCTGGCAGTGAGCAGTTCCAGGGAAGAGGCATCCACAACTTCACCAAGCAAAACCTGTTCCAGATACTCTCTACTCTCAGAGTAAAGAATTTCTTCCTAATAGCTAACCTAAATCTCCCCTCTTTCAGTGATAAAACTTTTAAAGTGCTAATGATAAAGTGATAAAGAAATTACTTTATATCTTTAAGAGACTGATGTTTTTTATTGAAGGTGTGATTCCCCCTTTGGCAAAGGAAAGGAAGAGAAACTAATGCTCATTCCTTGTTTCCAGCAAGAACTAAGCATTTCACATAGTACAGTGCCGACAAGCATCTTGCAGTCTGAGTCATGGGATAATTACCATTCTACATCTCTCAGCTGGAGAAACTCACCAAGGCATGACAACAGGACAGTTCCAAGATGAGTAGCTCAGATGTCCACAAGCACACAGAGCAAAGCGATGCTATGACCTTGGAAGATTTATTTGGAAGGAGGTTGAAAACCAGCATTAGTTTTCTCTAAGAGAGAATGAAATAGAAACTAGTGTCCTGCATGGCCAAGGAAAGTTCTGTGCCCATGTCTTAGTTTGAGATAAATAGAACTAATTCTCTATTTAGTGTTTTTACTTTTCAGTTAAGTCTCTTCTAAGTGACTGTACTTTCTGGAACTAACATGTTTTTCCCAACAGTTTCTGCTTCTATCAGTGATAGTGCTTAATGTTTACAGTTACTATTAGGTATGGTATGTACATACAGTTCTAGCTTATGTTTGTGCCTATGGACACTATGGCCACTGCCACATCATGGGTGTCATATTGGACTGTCTTAAGCAAGATGACGCACCTGTGGGGAGGAGCGGGCAGGAGAACTAACATGTTTTTCCCAACAGTTTCTGCTTCTATCAGTGATAGTGCTTAATGTTTACAGTTACTATTAGGTATGGTATGTACATACAGTTCTAGCTTATGTTTGTGCCTATGGACACTATGGCCACTGCCACATCATGGGTGTCATATTGGACTGTCTTAAGCAAGATGACGCACCTGTGGGGAGGAGCGGGCAGGACAGATGACCCAAAACTGACCAACAAGGTATTCCATCCCACATACATCATACTCAGCATAAAGCTAAGGGATCATGAGGGTCAAGCTCTTCTCTTCCTTTTCTCTTCTGCTATGACCAATGTCCAAGTAGAACTGTGCATTCCTGAATCCAGTTCCTGAGTCCTACTGCCACCTTCTGCTGAGTCCAGTCTGGGACTATTCCAGTGCCCTGCTCCACAGAGCCTCTGGCAATGTAATTGTCACTAGGGGGTGGAGGGATAATTTAATATTGGTTTCGTATATATTTAAATATTTTCCTATTTACATTATTATTTTTTTCATATTATTGTTTTATTAAACCTTTCCTTTTCTAGCCCGTAAGTGTCTCTCCCTTGATGAGCTGGAAAGCAGCTCTGAGAAAAAGAACCTGGGGGTACTGGTGGTTGAGAAAATGGACATGAGCCACCAATGTGCACCTGCAGTGTGGCCAGCAGATGGAGGGAGGTGATTCTGGCCCTCTGCTCTGCTCTGGTCAGACCCCACCTGCAGTGCTGCGTCCAGCTTTGAAGTCCCCAACACAAAAAGGACACTGAAGTGCTGTAGCTCGTCCAGAGGAGGCCATAAAGATGATCAAAGGGCTGGAGCACCTCTCCTATGAAGACAGGCTGAGAGAGTTGGGATTGTTCAGACTGGAGAAGAGAAGGCTGTGGGGGGACCTTAGAGCGACCTCCCAATACCTGAAAGGTGCCTATAAGAAATCTGGGGAAGAGCTGTTCACTAGGGCATGTAGCGATAGGATGAGGAGTAATGGTTTTAAACTAGAAAAGGGTAGATTTAGGTTGGATATTAGGAAAAAGTTTTTCAATATGAGGGTGGTAGATCACTGGTAGAGGTTGCCCAGAGCGGTAGTGGAGTTCCGACCTCTGCAGATATTCAAGGCCAGGCTTGATGGGTAACTGAGCAACCTGATCTGGTAACAATGTCCCTGCTCACTGCAGGGAGGTCGAACTGGATGAGCTCCAAAGGTCCTTGCCAACCCAACACATTCTATGATTCTATGACTCTATGATCTTTCTGTTTCCCTTCTAGGAAGGGGAAAGGGGTTAATAGAGAGTGTCTGTCAGTCATTTAATGGCCAGACCAGCCCCAAACCTTGACAGTCCATAAGTGACCATGTGAAAGAGTGACATCACTCCATATGTGCCAATTCACATGGTAATCTGAGCACCTGGCCAGATTTTCCAAGGAGCTCCTGTGTTCTGTTTCTTCTCCAGTGCAGCACAGAGGAAGCTTCCACCCATATGGCCAGGCTCCAGATTTGTCATTCTGGTTTCCAAGACTGACTAGGAGCAGAATTTGTGGTTCAGGAATGGGGGAAAAAGAAAAACCCAATAACCCAACAAAAACCCTAAAAGGCCTCCATGAGTATACATCTGCAGATGTAGTTTAATGAGCTGTTTATACACACACATGGCGGGGGGCAGAAAGACCACAAGGAGCAAAAAAAAAAATCCTCTCTTGGAATTCGTCTCCACTAGGCTAAGTTTTCTTCCTTCAGAAATGCAGATGACACCAAGCTGTGTGGTGCAGTTGACACACAGGAAAGAAGGGATGCCATCCAGAGGGACCTGGACAGGCTGGAGAGGTGGGCCCATGCCAACCTCGTGAAGTTCAACAAGGCCAAGTGCAAGGTCCTGCCCCTGGGTCGGGGTGATCCCAAGCACAAATCCAGGCTGGGTGGAGAATGACTCAGAGCAGTCCTGAGGAGAAGGACTTGGGGGTGTCAGTCGATGAAAAACTCAACATGAGCCAGCAATGGGCACTTGCAGCCCAGAAGGCCAACTGCATCCTCTGCAGAGGGGATTCTGCCCCTCTGCTCTGCTCTGGTGAGGCCCTCCTCTGCAGTACTGCATGCAGTTCTGGGGCTCCCAATGTAAGAAGGACATGGAGCTGTTGGAGTGGGTCCAGAGGAGACCACAAAGATGGTCACAGGGCTGGAGAACCTTCCCTGTGGGGACAAGCTGAGAGAGTTGGGACTGTTGAGCCTGGAGAAGGCTGCGGGGGGACCTTATTGTGGCCTTCCAGTTCCTGAAGGGGTCCTACAGGAAAGCTGGGGAGAGACTTTTTACAGGGGCTACAAGCTATAAAATGAGGGGTAATGGCTTTAAACTGGAAGAGGGCAGATTTACACTAGATATTAGGATGAAATTCTTTACTGTGAGGGGGGTGAGACCTGGCACCTTGGAGGTGTTCAAGCCAGGTTGGACGGAGCTTTGGACGAAGGGTTTTTGAACTGGAAATTATGTGCACCCCAGCATCGTATGTGTTTAGTGTGATAGTAGGACTCATAAGCTCTAGTAACATGAGGAAACAGCCAAAATATGTAGAATTAGATGTAAAATGTGTTTTCCCTCCAGTTGTGTGTAGGTAATTTATGTGTGTATTGTTCTGTAGTGTGTTTCTTCAGATGATTATGTGTTTTAAAATCATATTTCAAATAAAGACTAGAGGCTTCAGGTTTGATTTCTTTTCTTGCCTGCTTGGGAGGCTTAAGTAAGTCGTATCAAGAATCTGTGCCTCTGTTTCTTTCACTGTGATATGACTCTCCTCCCACCCTTCCCTTCTGCAAAGAGCTTTCAGATCTATTATTAGAAATTGTATATGAGAGGTTTCATCATGGTGGGTTCCGCTCCTCCAATTATATTTTCTAATATCCATTAGCAATGCAGGAAGTCTGTTGTGGCAGATTACTTAGTTTTATCTTTAGGTTGACTTGAATTTGAAGGGATTACAGTCAAAGTGGACATCGAACGGGTATTACAGTATTATGGAATTAATACTGTAGTGACTGCAATAGCTTTATATCACTGCTGATTCTAAACTCCATTTATTTGGAGTCAGATGAACTTATTTCCTGTCTCTGTAACTTTGCTCTGAATGGCGCTAAGACTGTGTAATAAAACAGAAGACAGCCTGTCTCCACGAAATCAAGCATATAGTAAGTAGTTGGATCTCCCTCTAACTGATCATATACATGAGTTTACGTGAAATTCTGGTATCTATAGACTACTGTGGGAACAAACTGGACCTTGGTTTTGTGCGTGTACCTTTGACAACTTTATTACTACCCAAATTGGCAGGACTGAATTTGCCTGTCACTGAAGGGCTAAATCATGAATGTCCTTGACTCTCACTTCCAAAATACCTTGCATATGAATATGTGTAGCATTTTGGTGTGTGAGCTAAGCACTTTGCTAAACCTGGGAATCGAACTGCAGAATAAGAAGACAGCTCCACAACACTATGTTTGTCAGTGTTTCATGCTTTTGATTTTCACTTTAAATACATCCCATCAGTGAAACTGCAGTGAAAGACTATCATATTGCATGCTTAACTCATCAAGACAGGAAAAAGACTCTCACAAATACATGTATTAGAGA